AGGAGTGCTGAGCCTCAGTACAATTAGGAGCAGAATTTAAAGGGGTACAAAAAGCCAGGTGCCAGTGGCTCACGCCTGTGAACCAAGCACTTTTCCAACACTTGACATGGCTGACTTCATTGATCTTTATAACAGTCTTATGTCATAGATCTATTATTACCCCCATTTAACAGATAAAGCAGTCTAGAAGTCTGGTTTTCAGGGAAAGCCCAGGCTAGAGATATAAATATGAGAGCCTGTAGATGGCATAAGCTCATTTGGAAGTTGGTGTGATGATTAAAGGCTAAAGTCGGACACTGGGGAGTTTAAAGAGAGAAGATGAGCTGTGTGCAGCCAAGGAACGAGGAGTTTGTAGAAGGAGAAAATGATAAGAAAGAGAGAGGGGAAGGAAGGAAGGAAGAAAAAGGAGGGAGGGAGGGAGGAAGGGAGGGAGGGAGGGAGGGAAAGGAAGAAAAGGAACAAAGAGAAAAAGGAAAAAGAAAGCATTAACCCCAGTGCCAGTGGCTTACATCTGTAATCCTAGCTACTCAGGAGGCTGAGATCTGAGGATGGCCATTCAAAGGCAGCCTCAGCAGAAAAGTCCATGAGACTCATTTCCAATTCACACACACACACAAACACACACAGATGGAAGCAGTTGTGTGTGGCTCAAGTGATACAGGACTAGTCTTGAGCAAAAAAAAGTTCAAGATGGGCTGGGAAGGTGGCTCAGTGGTAGAGGGTTTGCCTTGCATGCATGAGGCCCTGGGTTCGATTCCCCGGCACCACATAAGAAAAAAAAATAATAAAAAATAAAAAAAGTTCAAGAACAGTGGCTAGGACATGAATTCAAGCCCCAGGACCAGCACAAAAAAAAAAAAAGACTTGTGTCTTGGAGGTCGAGTCCCCACACTGGGAATATGGAGATGTTGCAACCTTTGAGAGATGGAGTTTAGTGGGAAGTTCTTAGGGTATTGGAGAAACTGCCCACGAAAGAGATGGACCTGGGTAAGATGGCTGCTGACTAAGCTTCAGCTGGTCTCGACCATTCCCTCCCTGGCTTCTCATCTAACAATGTAACCTCTCTCCCTCTCCCTGCCCCTCCTCCCCCCCCCCGAGGAGGCTCTGGGGCCCTCTCGACCAGAACCCCTGGACGTCAGCTGGACAGGCCCTCGGGCTGGCAGCCCCCCCCCCCCCCCCCCCGTTGTTGCCACTCACTAAGGAAAGATGCTGGGTGGGGGAGAGGAGCTATGCCAGAGCCCCTGCCACCTTGCTTGGGCCTTCAGCATCTGAAACTGTTTAGTTTTAACAACTAAAGCCTCTTTCTGGGATGGGGGTGGGGGAGAGTGTGATTAGTAAATATAAGGCCCTAAGTTCAAATCACAGTACCCCCTCCAAACAAAAAAATCTCTTTTTTGTGGTTGGTGGTGGTGATAGTTGTGGGGCTTGAACTCAAGGTCTGGCACTGTCCTGAGCTCTTTTGTTCGAGGCCAATGTTCTACCACTTTGAGTCACAGCACCACTTCCAGGTTTCTGATGGTTAATTGGAGAGAAGAGTCTTAGAGTTTTCTGCCAGGGCTAGCTTGAACCACAGTCCTTAGAGCTCAACTTCCTGAGTAGCTAGGCTTACAAGCATGAGCCACCAATGCCTGAAAAAGACTCTTTTTCTTTATATTAGCCTGCCTCTGGTATTCCATGATAATAAGAAAAACCAGACCAAATATAGAAAATCAGTACCAGAAATGAGGCTGTTGCTAATAATAAATGCTTGAGCATTAGAAGTATCTTTGAACTGTGTTACAAGCAGAGGTTGGAAGAGAAGGTTTGGAGCAGAAGCCTAGAAATAAAAAAAAAATTAAAAAAACCTAGAATGCTGTGAGTAGAGCATTATGGGTGATTTCAATGAGCGCTCAGAAGACTGAACACTGGAGACCTAGTCTCTATGCAAATGAGGATTCTACTTAAAGTTGCACTAGAGGGAATTCTTGTTCCACATAGCAGATTCCTTGGATGCATCGCATCTATGCCCTAAGAATTCATGGAAGGCCGTACTTAACAATACATTAATTTATTTAGCAAGAATTTCCAACCAACAGTCAGGCTATAGCAGGGGTGTTGCTGGCTGCTTGTAGTTGGAGCTAACAATGAGATGAAAAGCAGGGAGAAAATCTTTAGAAAACTCACACCTTGGCCAAAGGAAAAGAAGTTGGGGGCCGGGGGCGGGGGGGGGGGAGAGTGCAAGGAAGCATCTTCAAAAGGCTGAGATCTAAGAATCATGATTCAAAGCCAGCCTGGGCAGGAAAGTCCCTGAGACGCTATCTTTAATTAACAACCAAAAAGCCAGAAGTAGAGCTGTGGCTCAAGTGGTAGAAGAATAGCCTTGAGCAAAAAAAAAACTAAAAGACAGTGGCCAGGCCCTGAATTCAAGTTCCAGTAGCAACATGCGTGCGCAGGCACGCTTGTGCACACACGCATGCATGCGCGCGCGCGCACACACACATACACAAATAAAAAATTTTAGAAAGCATATTCTGAACAGGAGAATGCCCACATGCTATATGAAAAGACAATTAAGTAAAAGACCTCAAAGGCGTCTCAGAAATTTTCAAAGCTGTCTGCCCCGCCCATCACAGACCCCAGAGACATAGAAATACTCTTTCCTATGGAGGATTGGCTGAGCCCTGGTGTTTCCGGTCGCCTCACTAGCAAGGCCTGCCTCCTGATCACAGTTTTCCAGCACAGTGCCCTGTTGCTTCTGCAACCATGATTCAATCAGCCCCAGGTGAGTGCGTGCAGGCCACAGACCTTGGTTTCTAGGTGGAGATGATCTTGCGGGCTCACGGAATACAAGAGCCATGGGGTTGTGGCAGCTTCCACCTAGAACTCACAGGAAGGCCAACCAAAGTTTGCCACCCGGAAGTGGAGCTGTGGCTCAAAGTGGTAGAGCGCTAGTCTTAAGCAAAAAGAAGTCAGCAATCGTGCCCAGGCCCTGAGTTCAAGCACCATAACTGACAAAAAACAAAAAGTTTGCCACAATGTTGGTGTAGAGAGCTGTCAATAGGGGGTGACTACTTATACAGTAAGAATGGAGCCCCAATGGGGAATCCCAGAAAAGTAGGGCTTACAACATGGCACACCTGACATCAGCATGCAGCCCCAGATGATAAGCAGCCACGTGGGCAACAACCAACAAAGCCACAGGGCTGGGGCAGCCCAGCAATTTAGGGATCTACTCTTTACCACAGAGTAGACAAGAAGCCACACTTGGAATATCTGCCCAGCTAGATGTCAGTCTGACTCGGGGATGATTAATTACTCTCTTTTACTTATCTTTTTATTCTTCTCTTTTGGGATGGGAATATATGCCTTGGGCCTGTTCTACCATTAACTACTGGAGGTAGACAACTTTGATTATTTGTATTAACATAATTAGCTACAGTGGGTGATATTTCATGATGACATTCCACACGTGTATACAATGCATTCCAGTCCTCTCCCATTCCTCTCCCTTATCCGCCTCCCTCCATAGTTTGGCTTACAGTCTCAAGAACTGAAAAATGCTTGCCTTGAGTCTCAGATAGGACCTTGAACTCTGGGCTCCTGAAGTGCTGTTGGAACAAGTTAAGACACAGGGCTGTCCTCAAGGAGCTTGTACTCCAGTGGGGTGACAGTGAGAAATGCCTGGAGACAATGAGCAGACACTCGATGCTGGAAAGAAGCTGTTGATGAGCTGGATGCTACTTGCTCCCACTTGAGCTTTTGTGCTCCAGGCTAGTGCTCTACCACTTGAGCCACAGCTCTACTTCCAGCTTTTTGGTAGTTGGTCTGTTATATTATGAGTAAGCTCATTTGCCTAGTTTTTTTTTCTGATATAGCTTATTTATTATGATGATTAGTTTTATTTTTTTTTGGGGGGTCTGGTCATAGGGCCTGAACTCTGGGCCTGGGCGCTGTCCCTCAGCTCTTTAGCTCAAGGCTAGCGCTCTACCACGTGAGCCACAGCGCCATTTCGGCTTTTTTATTTTTTCTGCTTATATGGTACTGAGGGTTCGAACCCAGGGCCTCATGCATGCAAAGCAAGCGCTCTACCACTGAGCCACCTTCCCAGCCCTATTATTATTATTATTAAGCTGTTTTCTTGTTTGCTAGGCCGGAGTTGTATCTCCTTCAGCTTCAGCCCTCCTATGTGGCCATGACTTAATTTGATAAATTCATGATATTATTTTTTATTTGCATAAATAGTATGTGCCTCATAGCCTTGTGATGGACAGATAGGTTTATTTGCACAAATAAGATGGAGTCATTTAGTTGTATCGTTTGGACTCAAAGTGGAGTCTAGTCACTCAGGGCATCTTGATTTCCACAGCATCCTTCCTTGACTCCACAACTCCTTGTCTAGTCTGTCTTCCCTACTCCATCATGTAATCTATGCTCTGTACTACAGTAAAAAGAAGGAAAGGACTCACTAGGCACTTGGCTTCATTCCTAAATTAAAGCTATTTTTTATTATTAAGAAACAGTTTAGGCAGATGCTGGTGGCTCACCCCTGTAATCCTAGCTATTCAGGAGGCTGAGGATCATGGTTCAAAGCCAGCCCAGAAAGGAAAGTCTGGGAGACTTTTATCTCTAATGAACCATCAGAAAACCGGAAGTGGCACTGTGGCTCCAGTGGTAGAGCCTTGAGCTGAGGGACAGCACCTAGGCCCAGAGTTCAAGCCCCACAACTGACAAAACAAACAAACAAAAACAGTTTCAATTTATGCCAGGAATGAAATCCAGCCCAAATGAAGGAAAGAAGGCAGGCAGGCAGCAGGCAGGCAGGCAAGAAGGAAGGAAGGAAGGAA